CTTTGAGTAAGTTTTGTTGTTATTAATATATTGAGCCCATAACCTCTGATGAGGGAACATGGCTTCATTTTAGGGGGTTGGAAACAATTGTTATAATCTGTTGTTGGCTGGTCAATTGTTCAAATGAGTGTTCTGGGAATCCACCTCAGCTCATAAAATCTAGAAATTAACATAACCACATTTCAAAAGGCATATGTTGCGTGATCTGGACCAATAAAAAAGGAATAGCAAGATGCAATTAATTCAACCCCGATATTTTTCAGCTGGAGATAAAAGGAATTCTTACACATCTTCGTGTTGCTGTTCATTTCTTCTCAAAGGTGCTTGTTGTTCAGTCTCTCTGTAGTAGAAATCGCCATAAAACACATGGTCACGTTTAAAGAGTAGGAGTGTAGTAGAAAAGCCATGGGCTATTGTGTTTTGAGGTCATCTTCAGTTTTCTTCTTTTCAGTACCAAACCATTGTTTGGTTACAGAATGTGTTTAAGTGTTAACAGTAAATGGCAAGGGCTTCTCTTTATAGGCTAAATGTTGTTTTGCATCAGTGTTTAGCAACGTTGTGGGGGAAATTCATTCAGTACGTGCACATCAATTGGCACAATTCCAGTTTGTCTACTGAGAGTACGGACACACCAGCCTGCAGCTCTGTCCAGCACCAACATGGTGAAGTTTGCAGTTTGCTTTACATTAGACACATTGTCAAATTATATCACAAGCTTATGAGAAGACTGTTTGTTTAATCAGATTCACAGTGTTGTAAAAATGTGCAACTGCTTTGTTTTGTTCATCTCTCTGTAACATGAGCTACGTCCTGTCACATGCGAGCATGTCATCTGGCTGTCCTCTTACAAAGCGCAACTTTTAGCAGAAGAGAGGCAGCTGCCCTTTGTCGCTTCTTGCCCTTAGAAGTCAGCTTTTTATATCAAGGCAAGGTAGACCCAGCTGTGATACAGCTGTAACACAGTGCATTTTGTGTGAAGCAGCATTGAGGAAAAATGTAGAAAACTACTGACTGAGGTAAACGGTTAGGTAGAAGGAATGTGGATACTCAGAACGGTGACTTGCACTTCATCAGAGAGTAACTTAACTCCCGGGGCACATTAACACACCACATATTAATGAAGACAGTTTATTTGTTGTATATTGACAACACTTTCCCCTCCTTTCAGGTTGCTGCTGTTGCAGGGTCCTGTGGAGGAGAAGAGCTGTGCCATTCCCCCTTTTGTCCTCATGTCTCCCCCTGTGTGTTTCCCTGTGTGTTAGTGAAGCCACACCCCCACCAGCCCTCCACCTGATCCCTCCTGTCGTGTCACCAGAACAGCCCAAAGCCCCCCTCTCACCCCATGCTTGGGACAAAGCCAGCTCACTGCCAGCCCAATGACTGCCTGGATTGTCCTGCCTGTCAGCCTGTCTGCCTTCTCTATCACAGGAATATGGATAGTGTGAGTTGGCTACCCCTGTTCCAACAACTACAGAAGGAAATTGCACACATTGATACATACATTGATTTAAAAAATATGCATGATGAGATATCCATGGAATACATTGATGTAAAAAATATGCATGATGAGATATCCATGCTGTCAACTAGCATTTGACTGAGGCCTTAGTGAGCAGTCTTTCTGTGGAATGACCCTTTAGCTTAAGCCCAGTACCATCTCGCTTCTCAATACTATCAATCTATGTGCATTGTGTTAAGTACTTTGAATCTCTGTTGTGTATGAAAATGTGCTATATAAATAAACCTGCCTTGCCTAATAATTCTGTTTATTTTCTCACTGTGTTTGACATTTGCCATTTCTTGCTTTGAATTACTGTGCGTGCTTGACCTCGCAGGTATGCCATGGCTGTGATGAATCACCATGTTTGTCCTGTGGAGAACTGGTGAGTGTTTGTGTTCTGTTGATCTGAGGAAACTGGCATCAACCTTTTTTATTGTTTCAAAACTGGACACAGTTTTACTTCACAGCTGCTAGCACGGAGTGAACTGAACTCATTGTGTCCCTGCTACAGGACTTACAATGTAACGTGCACAGAGGAGCTGCCTCGACCAGGCTTCCCCAAGACATGCTGCACCATCCAAGACATCCCCCTCATCAGGTCTCCTGTTCCATGTCTCCTCCTTTCTGCACTTCAAGTCATTGTTCCTGCAGAATACAAAAGCTATTTTGTGTCAGCGAAGGCCCCAAGGCATGAATTAGCACCTTGTTACATTGTGTCTCTGACAGTCATTAGCACACGCTTTGCATAAACTGCATTTCTTTAATCTGCAAATAAGCCTCTAACCACAAGCAAGTACGAGAGCTCGCCTGTAAAAGGGCGTAAAGAGACTTGCAGGTGTTTGGTAGAGTTTAGGGGTCCTCTTCATTTAAATTTCAGTTTTACAGCTAGTCCTGCGCAGAGCAAAGTGGTTTCACATTCTTGAGTTTGGAAACGCATATAAATGCTAGTCAATTAATTTGGTTTGTCTTCATGTCCTGCAGTAAATGTGGTTCCTACCCCCCTGAGAGTTGCCTGTTCAGCTTGATCGGCAACGTTGGAGCCTTCATGGGTAAGGTCTCCATGTACTGAATTTAAAACCACACACACAGTTTTGTGATTAAATGACATCGTGTGAGCAAAGATATGTCCTTTTAAAGGAATAATATAGTAGTACAGTCCTGGGAAATCTGTTCATTTGCATTTTTGCTATGATGAGAGGATCAATACCACTCTCATGTCTTTAAAGTAAATATGAAGCTGTGGCCAGAAGAAGCCTCAGAGACTCTGCTAGCTTACGCCGGAAATGCTGGAAGTTGTCCAAAGAGAAAACAAATGGCCTACCACTTCCTCTAAAGCCTACTAATAAATAAAAGCGTGGTTTGTGAGAAGGTTATCTGATGTAGTATTCTTGGCTGAGAGTCGTGACATCTTAATGTGTCTGTGAAGTTGCCACTCCTGGAAGTGACCACATCCGGAGCAGACAAATAGGACTTGACTCCCTGTAAAGGCACAACTTGTCAAGTTTACTCTTTGGTTTTGTATGGATTAAATAAACAAGATAACGGGTTTGAATTGGTGAGCTTTGGAAGTTCTGGTAGGCAGGTTATTGAACTTCTACAGAACCAGGTTTGCTGTGTCCACTCTTTATGCTGATCTTACCATCTCCTGGCTGTAGATTCATATTTAGCACACAGATATGAGAGTGTTATAAATCTTATCTAACTCTCAGAAAGAAGTAGAATAAGTGTATTTCTCAAAAGTGAAATTATTCCCTTAAACATCATACCCTCACCTTGACCAAAAACAAGATCTGCTGTGGTGTAAGAGAGGCTATTAAAAAGCAAACAGTTTACATTTTGAGAGTATTTAAGGATCAATTAAATATTGAACTTGTCCATGGTAGTGTTAAATACTGATTATTCAATATGCAGTGAAATGCAAATGTTTGAATAGATCTGTGGCCCACATAGACAATAAGACCGTTGTCTTCTCCTCTTTAATACAAACACAATTAATTGGTATAGCTGAGCTCAAAGTGTCTGTCTCCTCTGTCCATTCTGTTATATAATCCTCAATGGTGCCCACAGACATCAGCCACTAGGCCTCCAAGAGATCCAGAGGGGCTTGAAATAGCCTGCGCTCTCTAATCAATAATGAATGTGGCTTTCCTTCCACTTCCCCCTCTCCTTCTCTGTGGCCTTCCTCCGGTACACCACCCTCTCTCTTGTTTTATCACCAGTCTGCTCCCATTTCACCCCTGTCCTTAATTGCATCTCCCCTGCTGTTTTCACTGTCACTTCACTTTTTTCAGTTCTTCTGATCTTCTTTCCTTTCCATGCATTTTTATTTTTGAATTTCCATCATCTTTTTTTCCTCAGTTCCCTTCTTTGTCTTTTTAAAATTCTCATTAATGTGTAATCTGCCTGGATACTTGGACTTTTACTTCTCACTTCCTTCTTGTTGGGTGCCTGTAATGTTGATCTGTTTTACTGCCTTGTTAGTATCATTGTAACAGACAGCAACCTGAGGGTTCATAGTTTTCAAACAGCTTGTTGTACCCGGCACTTTTTACCATACTGACTGAGAGACGAGACAGTCCAAGTAACTTCAAAACAGTGCTGATTTATTCAAAGGATCACAGGTAAAATTAACATTACACGCTCAGGTATCTTGCACCTCCAAACTGCTCGCAGGCAGATGTAAGATGAAAGACCCTGAACCCACCAGGCCTATACATTATATCTTTTCGGTTGGGCTAGCCCCATACCACACAGAAACGTCAACCGAGACGTCTCTGTTGCCAGCTTTACAGCTGGTCATAGCAGTAGTCCAAACATGAAGCAAATCAATGTGTGTGTCTGTTGATTAAGTGGTGTGTAACTAAAAACATTCTCACGACCTCTAGTAACATGTCGTGACTTAAACATAAGAACATATTATGGCTAAGGCTACAGTTATACACGTCATAATAATAATATTAAACACCCTGTCTGCTGACAGTCATCAACTCTTCTCTCTAGTTATCCTTGACCAGATGTACCCTGTAGAAACTCATAAGCATGACTAAGCATTTAACAGTCTAACTAGACATCCTATCTCCACTAAACATTTCTAATACATAAAGTATCTATCCAATTTCTATCTGACTAAAAATCTGTCGGGAGCTGATGCTAAACATGGCAGAAAAAGTGCCACCAGAGATGGGAGTAATTGGCAGAACACATCAGCAACAGGAAGAACAAAGCAGATAGTCATCACATCAGCAGAATGGAGCCGCCCCATGGCTGCTCACCAACCGTAGACAGAACTATAAGCAAACGGGAGCATCATATTCAGGAAAAACTGCGTAATACTCAGATAACCGATTTCATCATTGAGTATAAAATCCAAAAAATACACACTCATTTTCCATTGTCATTCCTTCAGTAACTGAATGACCTAAACCATAATCAGTTTTCCCACTGGTCTACACATTCATGTCAAAAGCCCTTTACAGTTGTGTTGTGCAGTATTATCTGTATTTAGTGCTACAAAGGCAGTGTTTAAGTGCATGTCTTCCTTTGCGTCCTGCAGTGGTGATGGTGTGCTTTCTGCGCTACGCCCAGGTGATTGAGCACAATCACCATTGCTGGGTTAACACCGGTGCACTGGTGTCCGGCTGCACCAACGCTATAGGCCTGCTCATGGTGGGCAACTTCCAGGTAAGCTTCAGCAGCATGTCCCCTAACATAAGTACACATTGAGTGACCTTGTTCCTTATTCAGACCTCTGAGGAAACAGTCCCTCTCTGACTGCACACGTCTGTCTGTCAGGTTGATCATGCCAAATCTCTACACTATGTGGGTGCTGGTGTCACATTTCCAGCAGGGCTGCTGTTTGTCTGCCTGCAGTGTGTGCTCACCTACCGGGTGGCTATGACTGCCCTCGACTATTGGATGGCCCATTTCAGGGTGGCTCTGGCCTTGGGAGCTATGGTCTCCCTTGTCCTCAGTATCCTTTACTTACTATTGTGACATTCCCTTTGTGGGTCACATACACTAGCTCTGTGCTGTATGCTGTATCTAAACACAATGTTTTTAACCCTTCTAACTTACCTTTATCACAGCAGACATTTGGATGTGTCTTATCAAGAAAAGCAGGTGTAACTAAAACCATTAGCCCCTGTCTCCTAAGTCACTCAGTTCAAGGGACCTGATCGTCTGTGCCTGCACACTGGAATGGCTTACTGGGACTGACCTCCGTGTTCCAGAAAGGTGAAAGTCAGGACTCACATTCATCTCCCCTGCTGTATTCTGGTGAAACCAGCAGCAGCCTCTCTCCCCTGCCTGCCTCTCTCTGACATCCAGTTAGAAGCATGACACCTGAGCTTTACCTTTGTCTTTGTCAGCCTGTTGTCTCTGTCGGGTTGGCCGTTTCCCAACTAGCAGAGCAACTCCTTAACTTCCATCAGTTAGGAAGCATGTGCAGGCAGGACTGTTCTTCCACCACCACTCATTGTGGCCCTTTACACATCTGCCATCACCTCATCTGTTTGGCAGCACAGATAAGAACCCTTTGGGTTCATGCTAATTATCTGACAAATAATAATAGTCTGTCCTTGGCGAATGCACTGCTCTCACTATCTGTTATCCTATAGCTAAATCCATCTGTTTAGCAGAGCTGCAAATCTGGCACCCTGTGGTTAAGCTGCTTGTCATAGATCTTGGCTCATTAGATTATGAATTTGATTCAGGCTCATAAGGTTTTGCATTCTGTCCTTCCACTGTCCTTGTAGATCCAGTGAAATAGGAAATGAGCTCTGTCTGATTTGTCCATACATGTACCAGAGAGATCTGTCTTCCTTAACTTGTCCTCCTCCCAGGTGGCATCTTCTTCATCCACGAAAGCTTCATTCTGCAGCACACTGCAGCCATCTGTGAATGGGTCTTCACTGTGGACATCCTGGTCTTCTACGGCACCTTCACCTATGAGTATGGCACTGTCACCAGCGAGACCATGATGGCAGGCCTGCAGCAGAGTCGTCACCACCACGGCTCAGGCATTATTGTGGGCCCCAGGGGCCGGGACTCGACACTCAGTGGGGCAAACAAGGGCCTCAAGTCCCCTGGGGGAAGCAGCACATCCACACATCTCAACTGTACCCCAGAGAGCATAGCCATGTTGTAGCTCTGCATGGCTGAGGTGTCTGATGGGCTCCCACAGAAAGGTGAGACGGTGGAGGAGAAACAGGAAGTTCTCATATCTTTACCCAGTGAACCAACACCAGGTTAGCCTATCTACTATGCTATAAGGTTCTCCCCCAAACCCCCACCTCACCCAAGTGTTGATGCAAGCCCCTACAGTCAGATGTCCTGAAAGCAGGGCTGAATGTATGGAGCCAGTTGGAGAATGATAAGCATGAGTATTCTAGTTCTTTACTAGAGTAGGTTGTTTCCAGCATGGGAGTTTAATAACCGTGCATCACTGGTGTCTTGGTGCAAAAAGAAAGTTCCTTACACTGACCGGGTCGTCCCCCCACCCCCACATGAACTACCCAATGCTTTGCGCGGTCCACCTGATCTGGCCTTTTGCCCCTCTCTGCACGGCACACTTTCTGACTGGGAGAATATTTATGTTGGAGTTTTGAGTTTGTATAGTGGGTTGAATATATTGAATGTTTGAGAAGTGGATAGTTAAGTTGTGTATTTTTACAGGCTGTAAGAATATGGCCTTTTTAGTCAATCAAGCATAAATGATCTGTCAAATGCTCAAGTGGCAAAAATCATTAATTTCACCAAACTGTTTGATTTGATTGCACAAATGATTTGTTTTTTGTTTTTTTGGTATTTGTTTTACAATGTGCATGTGTGTCTTAAATTGTTTTTTTGATGCGTGAGTGCAAGACGGCTGTGTAAAATTTTCTGATCTGTTCTGTTGCAACAGTTTGGGCCATGTGCATCTCAGTCACGTTTAACTGTTGTCCCCCACAGTATTAGACCTGAAGATTTCTTTTTAGCACTGACATTTCATGCTACTTCCCCCCCCCCCAAATCCTTTGTAACACCAAGACATTTAAAGTGACTTGCATTTTATAATAAAACCAGTGGGTGTGTGTGGAGGTCAAACTATAACCTGACTAGCACATTTACAGAATAACACACTAATGTGGTTCCAGGCTGGACCCTTGGAAGCCTTATTTGATTTTTGAGGTTTTCTGTTAAAGTGATGTGAAGCCTTCTCATTGCTTTGGAGGACACACAAGCTGAATGAGGGGTGAATACTATGCTTGTAGACCTTGTGCCATAAAGCTCATCACAACGGTGTCAGTACGCTGTCACAATCGTACAGGTTGTACACTGAGGTGAAAGTATATAATTGCCAGTTTCTCTGGAAATGATATACTTAATAGTATTGTCTGTGAGCCAGACTGCCACAAACTAAAGCTGACTAATGCTACCCAGTTTAGGTTACACTCAGCAGTTTTTAAGTGAGTGACCTGTTTCTCTGTGAGCTGTTTGAGTCGTATGTTTAATAACACACATACACAGTATGCTGCGCTCTATGTAATCTTGATGCTTGTTAAAACTGTCTAACCACTGGATGCCAGCAATACATGTTTTTAAAAGGCCACATCACCTACCTCTTATCTTTTCTGAGTTTGTTGTTTAAAGGTGAAAGCTAGAGATCCAACATGTTTTCCATCTCACAGTGGTTTGAGGTATGAATTATTTGTACTTCAGTAATCAGCAGCTCTTTCCACAAAGATCTGTCTTAACAAGTGACAGTAATTGTGAGGTCAGTGGATCTGATGTTACACGAGATGTTTAATCTAGTGTCGGGTCTTTTTTTTTAATCTGCAAATTATTTAAGTTCTTATTTTCCCTGGGGCTGCACTAACCCTGTCTTGTTCTGCAAATCTTGCCAAAAGAAGACTGGAAT